CGCTCAGCTCCACCTCGCGCGACGCCCAATTCGCCTCCAGCCGGGCCACCTTGGTCGTTCCGGGGATGGCGATCATCCCCTGGGCAGCGACCCAGGCCAGCGCGATCTGGCTGACAGAGCAGCCCTTGCGCGCCGCCAGCTTTTTGATTTCCTCCACGATCGCCTTGTTCTTGTAGAAGTTCTCGCCTTGGAATTTGGGGGCTTGGTCCGAACATCAGCACATGAGAATAGACTGAAAGGGCGGGGGTGCCCGGAAAGACTTTCTAGGGAACTGGGGATAAAGGGGGATACGTACAAGTCCGCCGGAAATCATCCGGCTTGAAGTCCTCGGGCGACTGGTAGTCGAAGTTATCGACCAGCCAGCCGTGGCCCAGCGGGCTGTACGCCACGTAGGCGACGCCCAGCTCCTTAGCTGTGTCAATCAGCCCGTCCGTCTCGTGGATGGTCTCGAAGGCGGAGTATTCCGCTTGCACGGCGTCGATCTTGGCGACTACGGATGACAGACACCATTAATACGTTGATCCATGGTGTAAACATTCTGGGAGAACGATGAGGGGACATACTGGAGTTCGCCTTGCGGAGCGTCGCGGCAGAGCACTCTGACAGCCCGATGTATTTGGTCTTTCCGGCCTTGCGGATCTCGTCTAGGGCGGGGATGGATTCTTCGAGGGGGGTGTCTATCATTTTCGGGATTCGTTAGTATTGGGGAGACTGTGGCTGGGGGTCCAGTGGTACAACGCACTAGGGTCAATCCGGTGCAGGTAGTACAGGTCCGGGGCGAAGCCGAGTCGCTCGATCGTTCCCTCGATGTACTCCTTGATGTGGGCGGCGGAGTTGGTGACGCCTTTGTTGCCGAAGACGTCGAAGCCGCATTTGGAGGCGACTGCGATCGTTCATTGATCCGGGTCAGTGGCCTGATTGTGTGTGCTGATGGCAAGGGTCGGGACGTACTGAAGACCTTGTCGCGCACGTTATGCTTGCGAATGAAGTCACCAAGGAGTTTCTCGTTGACACCGGCTTGGTAGACAACCTGTGCATTAATAGTCAGAGGATTCGAAGAAGATGCTATGAAATGAAGAAAGTGAGAGGGGTCAACGTACGGCCGTATCCCAAAAGGTGCAACCCAGCTCAATCGCCTTCAGAAGCACGGGCTCGGCCTCCTCGTAGCTCAGGTTGTTGCCCAGCCCGAAGCTGAGCCCCATGGCGCCAAAACCGGGCGAGGGGACCTGGAGGTCGGCGAAGGGGAGGAATTTGACCATGATGAGTTGAAGTTTTTGGTATGGACGTGGTGGCTGTGATTGTATGCTGTAGTCTGGTCTAAGCTCCCTGCAGCTGGGACGGGGTAAATATAAGAGTCCCAGGAAATGAATAGGCGACAGTGAATCAAGCACCGCATTGCTAATTCCAGGGTCCGATCGGCTCATCGCTCGGCTACGTTAAGGTTACATGATGACGGAGATGCGCCGGATTCGGGCTCTCGGGAGCTCGGTGCTTCTTCCTATTCGTGATCGCTTCATGTGCGTGGGTCAGCGCACAGACCAGGGGCTAAATGCTGACAGCTGACTCGGGTTTAAGCATATGTCCGTCAATTGGACCTGCAGTGATTGGTGGTGAATCTGTAGGTCAGCAGCTTGGCCCACACGTAGGTGACGTCATTGGTATATCTCGAGTCTGGCCTGCAAACCACAAACGCTAGATAAGTTACTAAGTATTGTCGAGTGAGAGAATACAGCGGAACCCCTGGCTTCATGCGGCCTACCGTGTCATCATCACATTACTGCTTATTCATACATTCTCCAGTTGTCCAGCTGCTGATATTTAGTCGATCCTTTAGTTTTGATATACCTAGTCCTAACGAGGGAACCTGCCGTCTGTCAAATGAATCTCCCTTTTCAAAAGGTGTTGCTGTGTAGGCGACCTTCCCTTTCCGCAGTGTCTGCGGTGCCTGCACGTTGTAGAGATTCCACATTCATATACAAAGGTCAAAAGAAGGGGCACAATAGGAACATAAATTGGAAAGGCACGCAAGTACAAAACTGTAGGCCGTCTAGAATCCGCAAGAACGCAAGCAAAGGTACACAAGAATGATCACAAAACAGGGTCTCTTCCAAGCAAAAAGCATCTCATATCAAAACTAGCAAGTCCAGTGCTATCTTTCTGTAGCATAAACGCACAGCACTCTTCAAAGCCAGTCATCCTCCACCGTGAGCCCAAACGCATAGGCGACCAACAGCTGCAGCATGTCCCCCGTGATCCACTCGGCATCATCCAGAGCCGGCAGACGAACGGGCTCCCAGCGAACGTGCTTGCCCACCACAAAGCCACGGGCCCGCTCACAACACGCACAGGCGGCAGTGCAATGGCCCCATTTCGCCCGGTGCGCGCTGCGGGGTCCGGCGCAACAGCCGCACCCGCGCCCGCAGCACCCGCCGCGGCCCGCGCAGTCCTCCCGCAGGAATTCCGTCAGATGCCAGTCCGGCCTGGTTCGGTTGGCGCACACCGCACATTTGACTGGCCCAAAGCTGACGGGGAATTTGCGCAGGATTCGGTGCGCCTTCCGCTCGAGATTCCAGATCTGCTCGTGGACTGTGCGCAGCTCGTTCTCGATCGCCTGCATCTGCGACATGGCCGAGAAGATGGGTTCAGACCCAACATCGCTAGTGTCGGCGAGATGCTGGAGCATCGCGTCCAGGACTTGGTGTGAGTGCTGCAGAGCGGCCTCGTGCTGGATCGCGAGGTTGAGGTTGTTGTCGTTCCGGATCAGGGATATCATGCTGCGCCATAGTTGGACTCCCTGCTGCAGTTCGAATGGATCTTCAAATTTGCGGGCAGCCAGATCCCACGCGAAGAGTCGCAGGCGCGCGCCCTGCGCCTGGTGGAAGTTCCCGCGCTTCTCGTGGAAGGTCTCTTTCTTTCCGTCGATCCATGCACCTACTTTGATGAATAGGTAACACGGCATGGTTGGGGGTTTGATGTGGGTTAGATATAGAGACGGGATGATGGGTCTGTGTGGGGTCTCAGATGAGCAAGGTGGTGTCTTGTTTGATGGATGATCCGGGAGAAATTCGTCCTGGGGAAGTGACTGGCCTCCTTGCCGGACCGTATGTACATCATCATGGCGACTCTTACCGCAGATTCACGGAGGTTGGCAATCATCATGACAACATTCGGAGCGAAATTTGCAACCCGTCCCATGACCATGACTCCATCACCTGGTCCCTCGAGCACAACTCCGCCAACACTCGCACACAGCCCTTCACACGTCCAACTCAACAAATCTTTCCACCTTCATCCCGATCACAATATACCCCACCTTCCCTACCCTTTGCACGATGTCAAGAATACCAGATTTATTGGGGACGGGGTATCTGCTCCCAGTCCCGGAGTATTCATTCACAGAGGAGCAATCTAAAGAGCTGAAGCACTTGCTCCAGTGCCATGAGTCAGCCATCACCACGATCGATTTCTGCATGGATGAGCTATGCGGAGCATTGAAGCACGCCAAGGTGCAACTGAACCAGATAGAAGAGCAGAGAGAGGATTTGGACAGCCTCGAGGATAGCATCGAACAGCTGAGATTCCGACCCGAGCATAAGACGTCTACCCTCTGGGCTGGGACCCTCCAAGACCACTTCTTCCCCAGGATGTTCGGTGTCTCACCGAGCGACGAGCGCCACGACTGGGACGCCCCTTCGGCTAGTGTTCCGATCCCTGGTGAGTTGGTTGCCCACACCGGCTGCGTTTGGTGCGTCGAGTGCGTGCACGGGTAACTGATAGTCAGATAGCTGGGTTCCTCACCTTGATGACGCAGACCTCTCTCGTCGAGCCCAAGCAAAGTGACAAGATCCCCAGCAGTGCGCTCGAGTGGACGCTCCACCGCATCGCCTTTGAGGTGAACCTCGTCCACGGCATCAACGCCTGCATGACGTACGTGCAGTCCAGAACCGCTCTGACCTACGACTTGAGATGGCCTCGTGCCCGACTCTCAGGTGTGCCGGACTTCACGGTGATATCCCGCCTCCGTAACCGTTGCCCTCGGGTGCGCTTCGTGATCGTGGAGAGGGACACACCGATGAGTTGGGCGCCGGACACGGAGCTTTTAGCTTACTTGTGTATGTGCTTCCTAGTCCTTCTATACCAGACTTCCTTCGAGCCTGGAGCATTAGACTAATCGCTGCATATCATATCATTAGTCATGGTCCACAAAACCAGGCGAGACGCGTGCGAGACGAACCCGGTCGTCTACGGCCTGGCCACCCACGGGGATACAATGGCCTTTTATCGATTCGAATACCCGGGGAAGGCAAGCATTTTCGCTGGGGGTTTTGGGCATGGAGAGAGACTTTGCTAATAGCTCTTCTCTAGTACCAATTCACAGTCAAACCCTACAAGGGTGCAGGGTTCGGCCATGATATCGTCACCATCCTCTGGAAGATCTTCATAGAATCCCGACACGTGGAGCGACACCCATGGGGCTTGGGGTCGGATGGAGACTCTAGTGGAACGGAAGGCGGTTCCGACGAGCATGTTCGGATGAAGGAGTAGAAGTGGGGTGGAACGTGGGTGGATTATGCTTTGCTTTAAGAACCTTCCGACTTGCTTTGCAATAGCTTGATGTTGAACTAGAAGATATACTCGAAGAAGGTCAAGTTCTAGTGAAGTTGAGATGATTGAATTTGTAACAGCGCAGGCCATTTTTCATCAATGATGTTTACCGAATGTCTATTGTTGTGTCAACTGGACCCAGTAATGATGAGACGGAGATACAAGATGCATTCTTATCTCCGGAATGTTGTGCGTACCATATACTGTATTAGAGCATTGTGAGGATTGTTGACTTGGTTCTTATCTCCGACGGAGCTGCCCAATCTCCGACCCTTAAAACCGATCCCCAACTCAGTTAATCCAACAACCAGAAAGAGACCTTTAACCCATTCCCTCGACATCGCTGATACACATATCACAAGCGAACCAGCCAAGCCTCTCTATCCTCATACACGATGCCCGCGAACCAAAGCGTCAAAAAGGCCCTCTCGCTAATCGAGACCGACGCCACCAAAGTGCTTGGCCTGAATGTCGGCCAACACAGGAATGTGCAACCGGGCCAGTACATCCCCCGAGCGGGTCAGGAATCCACACAATGCGGGGCAATCTGGAACCAAGACTGACAAGCCTGATGCTGTGTGACAGAGGCACAATCTCCGCCGGAGCTCTCCTTCGGCAACCTCTCGCCAAGCACGACCTACATGGTCATCGGCCTCGACATCGACGCCCCCTTCCCTTCCTTCGGCGTCCTCGGCCCCATCCTGCACTGGATCCAGCCGGGTTTGCAGCCCACTGCATCAGAAACCGATTCGAGTGTCCACGTTTTGAAAGTTACGGCCCCGTTCGTGGCGAACTACATCGGTCCCGCCCCGCCCCCCGGCAGCTCGCCGCACCGGTATATCTTCTTCCTGTACGAGCAGCCGGCGGATTTTGTGGGGGAGAGGTACGCTCCGCCGGGTGGGCAGAAGCTGGGGAATATGCATCGCATGCGATATGATCTTGATGCCGCGGAGGCGGAGTTTAAGCTGGGGAAGTTGGTGGCGGTGAATTATTTTACAAGTAATTAGGGCTCGGGTGGTGCCGGGGAGGGTGTTTGGATGCATTGGTGATGCGGATACGGCAGTCTTTCGCATAGTATAAACCGAGTTTGTGTCTTCTGGGCAAGATTATCCCCGGGTTAATGATTTTTACTAGACGGCTATTGAACTCTAGCAATAGGATTCGGAATTTCTCCATGTGCTTCGATCATTTTGTATCAAAGTTGCTAACAAGATCTGCCGAAAGCGAGTAGGCTGGGCGCCTCAGGTGCAATTAACTTATTTCCCAACCAGGCGTGACTCAAGCAGACAAGGAAGAATGCTGGCTGTACTCCGTACTGTTCAGCAATATCCCATCCTCTTAAATTTACTTTGTGTGATCCGGGGAGAGGTGATGCAGTGCCAAGCCATTTGACATTGTCCCAATGCAATGATCGCCAGTGATTGATCTGCCTGCCTGACAATCACCCCTCTCTTCGGCACTGTGAGCGAACAGATCTAAGATCAGATTCGATGATCACCTTTATGAGCGGTCTATCCCTTACATTTCCTGTAGGAACTTGCAATCATAACTTCGTTCATGAAATCCACATTCCGCCCTGGGCTTGACCCTCCAGGGGGATTTCTCGATGCCCCCCCGCTTCTTTTGATGAATAGGAATGTTATCCCATGAAATCCGGATAGTCATGATCATTGAGCACAGTTGAGAAGTAGGCCTAGTGATTTGCTGTATTGCGGAAACGTGCCAGGGCGAGCAGCTGCGCCGGGGAAGACCGTGCGCACCTCGTACCTATCGAGGGCCGAGGCTAGGAGCACGTAGAGAAGGAGCCCTCCAGCCACGTACGCCACGGGGTATCTCGAGACAAAGGCTGAGGGCCCTACATTTTGGCACCACAAGGCCCAAAGAATCAGCGAAGCGACGAAAACCAGGCGCTGCGACACGGCGTTATGGAATACCCGGATGAACGCGCGGTTGCAGGTCAGGACGACCGCGAAAGGCGTCCACAAATACGGGGAAACAAAGCCCAAACCAAACATCCATTGCGCTTTTTTTGCGTAGATCTTGTAACGTGGACCTTTTCTTCGCGGTCGATATGGTACAGTTAACGGCGGCCCTGGGATCTTAGGGCCTGAGATGCCGGCTCACCGCCTACCCCGGCTGCCTTAGCTAGTTCTCCGATAGCCTTATATAGGGGAATTAACAAGCCTTCTCCACCTCTCAGAGGCGTCATCAACAGTATTGTTGCGTTCGAAGATGATATCTGCTGAGACTCCAAGCTGAACCCTGCGGCCGAAGGGCCGAAGCTAACGGACAAACCCACCACCTTGCCCGCCACAATCAGGCGGCAAATGAAGTGGATCATGCCGGTGATTTCGAGAGACCAGAAGACCCGAACACGATGGCCTTTGAGGTTGGTGAGGGGGAGCGTATCAGCGGCCAGGGGCCGCATGTTGTCAACTTTCGTGTCGGCGGATGGTTTCATTGCAAGACAGATGGTGCTCCGAAGGGTTGATTCAGAGAGATTAACAGGAGCACGGGGCTGTCAATCTATTAAACTTCCGTGACCCAAGGCAATGGCAACACGTTCGGCTGTTCGATTTATTGTTTGGCTGTCAGCTGTTGCACTCTACCCAACCCTCGTTCACCATCTACCTCCTCGTGCTCGAATCATCTTCCACAAAAGCTGCTATGGACTCCGTCAAGTGAACAAGACAGGCATGCCATATCGCATGGTCCCCAACACACAGGAAATTGAGTATCACAAGAAGCATGTCAGCTGCAATAGTGTACTGCAACATCCTGTAATATTGACTTCCCGCGTAGATGTGCAGCGCCAAGGCATTGACATGTATAACTGCTGCAATGATCGTCGGCAGAAGCTCGGCTGACCCTACGATCCTTTCTTCGTTTGGCTCTATAAAGCAGACAGGCCTAGGGACAAGGCTCGATGGAAGGTCTTTCCCACGCATATCGTACACCTGTTCCGTCGAGAGACCCAAGGGAACTTGTTAGGTAGCTACTAAGTACTGTAGCTAGGTTGACTTCCCTTCCTAAGTTCCACCCTCGCCATGGCTTATCCCAATCTAGAAAATGGCTTGAACTTAAAAACGATGCAGTTCACTGTCAATCCGGTGACCTTGAAGGATAAATAGACCTGGCTTCGCCATTTCTCCATGACCTTCATTAAATTGTGAGGATCAGATTCGTTGGCCTCAGTCACGACAAGAATACGAGAGAGGACCTTGGAGTTCGCACGATTCCCTTTAGTATCCACCATCCTTGAATTCGGCTGCAATGAGATTCCTTCACGTCCTAGCTTTACTACTCGGAACAGCTCTAGCGCAAGACCCTGGCAGCGGCAGCGGCAGTAGCAACCCTAACACTGCCGCCGTCGCCGGTCCCGCCACCAGCCCGAGCTTGATCGACCCCTTGCTCAACAACGTCGTCGTTGTCGGTGGGAATGCCATTGGCGCCGTCGTCGGGGACGATGGGAACAACGGCGACGACGACGACGACGACGACGACACCATTGAGCTCATAAGCGATGACGATGACGACGATGACGACGACGATGACGATGAAGAAGGCGACGAAGTTACCCCCACTAGTGGAAACTAGCAATCGGACTTCATTACCAGCCTCGGCCTCGGTGAACCGCTCGGTAGGCTCGCCGGCATCGTTGGTGCCGGTGCTTCTTACGCGCGTCTATCGGCTTCATAGAAAGCCACGATGACGCAGTGCTGTTCGAGAGGGGGGGGGGGGTGGGGGTGGAGAAGAAGGCTCTCCGGCGTCCACTACAAGTTTCAGAGCCCTGCCTCCATTCCGGACGCGGCACGGTCTTTAGGAAGTCTTTGTGCCAGTAGCTAGCAAAGCAGCCGGATGCTGCCGGGATTTCTATCGTATGTCGAGCCTAGAGAAAAACTTTGCTTATCCAACCTTCTTTTTTCCGGTGAATAGTTGTCTTCTCTGATTCTTGAATATAGGCTGATCACGATGGCGGAAGGGAAACGTGTACAGTACCTACAGCTCCAATGCATCAGCAGTCGGCGGATTATTGGATGCCGACAACTACAAGCTACCATACAATTGAGGACTTGCCAGGGTAATCGTGTACAGTGTCAAGCGACAACACTGAAAACGCCGTAGGTTCGTTATCTGGGATCGTTAATCTATGGCTTGCCACTCGACTCCGATATCCCAGATAGATATTTGGTATATTTTGCTACACGAGCGCCTGCTGAAAAGGTGTGTTCGGAACGATGATACCATCCCCGCTGCTAGTTTCGCGAGTTCGACCCTGGAGCTCTTGTACTTGCATCTGGAGAAGATTGGTATCCCCGTTCTTGGCGCGTACAGCTAGCTGACTTCTTTTGGTTCTATGGATATCCGCAGTACCGAACCCTGAGGCGGCATGTGTCGCATGGTGAATGCTGGCTGTCATCATTTGTCTTGTGCGCGGTAACCGTGTCGGTCCCTTCGGGCTACAGTAAGGTGATGGTCCGACTTATCTTTGGAGTCAGTCTCCTACCTTCTTTTGGCGACAAGCTTTGCATGTGGAGCAGGCCCCGCCACTGAGTACAGAACATTGGCTTATATGATAATATGAGGCTTTGATGCACTGCGTTCACGTCTAGACTCGCATAGCTTTCTTCTCCTCTGCGATGCATGTTTATTCTGAGACTATGGCAATAGGTACGCAACCCAGCTATATGAGACGACTTACACTCCATCTAAGCGTTGATCTCAATGCTTAATACATCTCATGACTGCCAACATTAAGTCAAGTCTGTCATCGGTCTGCTAATCGTCATTAGTAAAGAGGTCCTCCGAAGACGATTCCGAATCATTCCTAGGCTTCTCTTCGTCATGCACAGGCCCCACCTGCAGCTCCGGCGTGACCCATTTTGAATTCGCCGCCTGTATCTCAGAGAACAGCGATGCAAAGTACTCCTCAACCCTGCGCGCCCGGTCGCGAGGGATCGATCTCGTCAGCCGAAGTTCCAGACGACGTATGGTCCCCATCCTCAGCATCGACTTGAATTGCTCTAAGTACTCCGTGGAAAACGACACCCTGCCACCCAAACCCGGGGAAACAACCACCACGATCTCTGCAAGCGATCCGAGGTCCTCACCACGATCCATGGGCAGGAGGAGCACCATGGCCTTTTCGATCGTGAGAACACTCGGATAGGCAGCGAGGACGCCCCCGCCGCCATTGACGCCCCGAAAGGCCCGCCGGTAGTGGCGCGACGCCAGGCCGTGCGCCTCCCAGTTGACCAGCATCAGCGGCGGCATGAACGCGGTGGCTGCAAAGATCCTCGGACGTCCCGGAGCCACCGTCCCACACCGTCCCCCTCGCGGTAGTCGCGCGGGCGTGTACCCCGAGCAGGTGATGGCAATGCGGGTTGGGCTGTTCACCATGGCCATGACCCAGATCCGACATCGCAACTCGGACGGCAGGCGTGGAAACGGATGAAAGGTCGCCCGTCCTGCTTCGACTGCGCGGGCGGCGGCGACGTCGTCCATCTCCCGCCTCTTCGCTTCGTACTCCTCGACGCTCTTGCAGCTCCCCCACAGCGCCTTGTCGGCTTCGCGGGCCTTTTCGGCCGCCGTTCGCGGCGCAATGTCGGGATTGCCTATGAAAGAACAAGGCGCTGGGCGAGTGGGGCGCAGCGTTCCATCTTCTCTACTGCGGGAATAGTATCGCTGTGGGTGGACGGTGTGGACCTTCCATTGCTCGTCGGTATAGGTGTAGGGGCTTGGTCGGGCGGCGGGGACTTCGGAATCTGATTGCAGTGCTGTTGACATCGAGATGTTCTGGTTACGTGCGGTAAGAGGGGGGAGTTTGGGGGG